CGGCGGCGCCGTGGGCAGCATGAGTAGCTGCGAGCGGCGGGCCTCCCCCGCTCTTTGGGCCCCCCCCGAACTGGCGGAACACCTGGTCCCGGTCGCAAGTGCGACCGCTGCGACCCTGGTAGTTCCGCCAGTGCTGAGGATATAGTCAACATGCTATGTCCTCAATTATTTACAAACACTCAGCGATGACTGATCGCTGAGTGTTTGCACTCGCTCTCCTTCCTGACACTTTGACGCAGGAGGCTGAGCGAGCGGTGCGGGAGGAGAGCTCAGCCTCCTGTGACAGTGCAGGCTGTCTCCGCCCACACCGCTCTCCATCCTGTGTCAGTGAGTGAGCGGAGCTCGGCCTGCTGTGACAGCGCTGGCTGTCTCTGTCCACACACCGCTATGCTGATCTGTGACAGGAGGCTGAGCGATGTGGGAGGAGAGACACCGACTGCTCACAGCGCTCTCCTCCCGCAGCGCTTGGCCGCCTGTGACAGTTTCTCTCCTCCCCGCTGGGACACAGAGCAGTGCCCAGCGGGAAGGAGAGAACGAATGGATGCACCGCTATATCGGCCAGAAAATGGCACTTTCAGCATTATGCCAAAAGTGCAATTTTCGGCCCATATGTCCCGGCGGCTGATATATCGGTGCATCCCTAATTCAAATGAATGGCAACGCATAGTAGGTTAGATAGAAAGAAACTGCGCTAGGAATCAAATAACACTCTAAGAGCAGCTGTGCTTAATAGGTGAGTACACCCAAAATAGGAAAAAAGAAAATAGCACTGCGCTTCAAACTCGAAAATTATATTCCTAAAATGTGAACATTTTTTTATAAAATTTTAAATTGTCACAAAGGGATACATAATTTTGTGTCATACACAACACCTGTGCTGATTATAGTAAAAAAAAAAAACAAACGTGCTAGTACATCTCATAAAATGTGTACATATACAGTAGAAAATCCTGTGTTGAATCTCACAAGTGATGACTCCCACCTAATCTGCATAACCATGTGTGAAGTCCATTACTTCTGGACACATTAAAGTCCTTGTATGTGAGGATATATCTTCCTGCTTTTATAATCAACACCAACGTCCGTGAATGCAAAAACAATTAGTGAATCAGTGCTCTCCAGTCTCCACCGTGCTCAAAGATAAGATCTGGCCGCACTCACCGACTCCTATTGCTCACCATATTTCAGATGAACAATTAGCGCTTTGCTGATATATATAGAAACAAATCCTCTCCTTTGTTTTTAATCCGACAATAAATTGGGGTAGATTCCTCCCAACTCTGGCTTATCTTTCCAAAATCGTGTGAAACTATTCCTCCATCCTCCACCTTCTCTTGGGCTCCCGATCGAGTGCTTCATTGGATGTTTTGCCCCTGGAACTCTGTCCACCCCTGCCTCAGCGTGCGGCCGCACTTGCAGGGGGAACTCTCGGGCTGTCCTCTATACATGTGGAAATATATGAAGTCTTTCAGGTGATGCCGTTCTGGATTAACTTTGAGAAAAAATTGTGCGACCATTGAAATCATCCGAACAACCACCAGATTACAAATACCTTTTATTGAAACATCACTGGGACATCCATTACGGGAGTACGGATGGACTCTTTCTCTTGTGGCCACAATTGAATAAAGTGAGTAATCCTTTCATATGTCAATACAATTGTATATTGTTCTATGTTTAATTAAAATATTTTGATACACTTTATATTATACTGGAATACTTGTTCATTGGAGAGCTCCACTTATGGGATTTCTATGAAATGGATGGAGCTCCCTCGTGGTCATACCCTCAGCCCACCCCACCTCAAGCTGACACTCGGCACCATATACTGAATGGTTGCTTGGCATGAGAACTGTCAGTGCTGCGCTAGGGGGAGGCTGAGGAGCCTCTCACCTAGAAAAGTGGAAGGCATGCGGCAACCCACTGAACACGGGTTCGCGGCCCACTTTTTGGGCACGACCCAGCAGTTGAGAACCATGGATCGAAAAGGTAAGAAATATATTTTTAAAACGTATTTTTCGTTATGCTGTGTGAATAGGAACAGATAACAAACCTATAGTGGGTTTTTTTTTTTCAAATCTAATTGCCAAACTAGTGTATTAGGTGATAATAGGCTCACTTCACAAAGCTCCACACCAGGATAAGGATCTTTCCCTTAAGGTGCCCATACACTGCTCGATTCTCGTACGAGAATCGCGGGAAATCCCACGATCGTACGAGAATCGATCAGTGTGAACGGAGACGTGCGACCGTTTCTACTGTACGGTCGCACGTCTTCCGTCGAACCAGCATGTTCGAAAACCAGCCGGGAATCGTACGATTCTCGGCTGGTTAGAACGGTGCTCGGAAGACAAATGCCGAACGGGCCGGTGTGCACACGCGCACACTGCCCGTTCAGCATTGCGGTCATCGGAAGCCCGCCCCTCAGGGGGGCGGGCTTGCGATGATCGAGAGTGCGATCTGCCTGTCCAAGATAGGCAGATCGTACGTTTTTTTAATCCCTGTACAACCATCGCAAGACTAAGGTCTTGCGATGGTTGTAGAGTGTATGGCCACCTTTAGCCATTTGACTCTCATATTTCATTGGACTCAGCTAAATATAATTGTTGTTTTTAATATAAGTCTCCTGTTGTATTAGCTTTGTGAATTGAACGTTATATGTGCTGAGCGGGAAGGGGTATGGAAGGGGAGCTCGGATAAGTGTTTTATGCTGCACAGTGTGATTTGTAATGAAAACACAGGTAACACACATCATCTGCTTTATTGCCTTCTTCTGTCTGTTCAGTAGCCCAGGTGTATGAGCTTGGATAAGGGTAATGTCTGCTAAATGTCAGTCACTTTCTATAGGCATATAGTGTGTACCATGAAACATGGTCACTTTCCCCAACCTCAAACCCACTGCATTGCTGGGTGCTTTTCTCTACAGCATTGTTTTCCTTTGAATTGCGTGGCTCTATCTCACTCAGAAGAAGGGACCCTGTGTGGCCCCGAAACGTTGGCTGTATGACGCATGTGACGATTTAATAAAAAGCGCTTTACTTTTTGCACACATCGAGTGCTGGTGACCTCTATTATGGACTGTATCTGACACAGCGCCATCCGTGTTGTCACTTCAAGCACCAACCTTTCATCCAAGGTCTGCACGCTGTATGGAGTGCAGGTGATTTCGTATTATCGAATGCACTGCCTGCACAGCCGTGTAATCCATTCCAAGGATATGCGCATGGAAAAATGACAAGTCCCATCTGCCACAGTGGCAGAGGGACACGTTGATCTCAATGGAGCACGAGTTCAGTGATGCCACTCCACTTGTAGTCCATTGATTACTTCTTCCAGCCCCATAACCGAAGGTCCGTACCTCCGGACAGACCTGGGGCTAGGGAGTCTGCAGGAACATGTGCAGTATATCCACTGATCACAGTTACAATGCTCTGCATGCTTCAAGGCAAACAAGGCTCCTTTCCCTTGCAGGGTCTTATGGAGCCAACCCTGTGTTTGCTAGTAAGCTGTTGATCCACAAACACAGCAAAGCAAGACACAACCGAGCTACCCACTCCTCCTTCCTTCTCCAAGTTAGATGAACAGTTGCTGGATACTGCTCTGTGCTTTGTGAGCTTGTACTGTACAGGAAGTTCAAGGAAGCGGAGCCAAGAGTTGGAGCTGTTTGGAAACATGATGACTGTAAGCGTTTGGGCAGAAATGCAAAGAAATACTTTGCTGGACAATCTATATTTGTTTGATATATGGGAAACAAAAGTGTAAGAGTTTAATATTACTTTAATAAATGCACATTTTGTATACAAGTGGGTGCATTTAATACATTTGTGTAAATGGTGGACTATGCCTTGGAAGGGTTAGTTTCCACACTTAGCTGCCAGGATGACTATCGCCTGCCCCCTATGCCAGTTGGTATAACGTTCCCGACACTTACAAACAACACTGCACAGACGAGCGGTGATCAATGGGCATCGCTTATTTTTCCCAGCACGCCGTCCCGGAAGAAAAAAAAAAAGATATTCTCATTGGTCAGCGCAGTCACCAATCCAATCACCGCTGCCTATTACAAGCATTATGTTGCTATATGGCCTCTGGGGTTGTGTGGTGAGGTGTCGGGACTGTTATTTAGGCTGGTGGAGGGCGATGATCATCTTTGCAGATAGGTGTTGTGACCGGTGGATGTTGGGAGTTAGCTGATTTTTTCATTCCCTGTGAAAAGGTGAAGTGACCCTTTAAGTACTCTATGAGCATACATGTCCTTTATGAAGTGGTCCTCTGCCCTGCTGAGAACAGAAGCCCTGACCTCACAAAGGTGGCTTTATACAGGTACACCTCCCTGGAGCGGGTCCATGACAGGTAACACCAGCACACCCCTCCCATCCATCCTGCAGAGGTGACAACAGGTGCTGGCCATTCACCTGCTGCTCTCCATTCCTGAGCTGAGCCCACACGTGTCCCCTGTATGGCAGACCACAGTGTGCACGTGCTCCATGCTGCCCACAAAGCAGGACGTGTCTCACAGCCCTGGCTGTCACTTCCCGGCTGGAGCGCCGGCACACTGCGCGCTCTTTATAAGGGGCGACGTTGTGCACAGCGCGGTGCTGCCCGATTGTCTCCCGCCGCCTGAACTTGGAGTGGGCACGTTCCGCGCGCATGGCATCGTGATATTTTTATCTGTCTAAGCCGAAGTGGTAAAGCCCCCGCCGGCGGTCCCCTGCTCGGGCGCTGCTTGATGACGCGCTGTCTCCTCCTCCCGCTGCTGCCCTGGGCTGAATAGTCGGGCAGGCTGGCTGGCGGGGCGTTGCGCACGGTGAGAGCGCGTCGTTTGGTGGCAGTGTTGGTGGCGTTCTGGTGTGAGCCATGTTCCGGAGCTATTGTCTCGAGCCTGAGGTAACGTCCCCGTCCATGACAGAAGTAATGCTGCGGTGTGCTTCCTGCGCTCTCTTCTCCGCTGCTTCCTTGCCTGATGCGCCCCAGTGCGCTCGCCCTGTCTGACCTCTCCAGGGTGACATGTCTCTCCCAGAGCCCCCCCTGCCTAGTGAACCCCGACTTCTCTCCTTTTTGGAAGCCATAGTGGCAAGGCGGCCTCCTCTCGGCTGCTTGTAGTACCCTGAGAGCATCGCCAGGTCCGCCTGTAATGGCACCATTTTGGATCCTCTGTGCCACTTGTCATGGGCTGGAGAGGACGCAGAGGGGGCCTCCGGGACGGCGCACGGTGCGATGAGTGGCTTCCGGGCTGTGCTGTCATACACCGTGCACGGGTTGGCTGAGTTCTGGCTTCCAGGGAGGCGATGGTGCCATTTGGAGCGGTGTGCGCAATGGGCAGAGGGGCGGCTAGGAGCGCATGAGCCGGCCTCTGCCGCTTCCCACTGCTCACATGCCTTTGTTTACCCTCCACCTTCCAGCAGGTGACAGCTTCTGTGTGCGGTTTATGGTGTCTAGGCATGGACAATGAATGGAACATGATCACTGGTCAGGATTTGATGGGATCACTACACCCAGGAGTGCCAGTGCACAGTTGTGGGAGGCTGCTGCTTTACCTTCTACTGTCAGGGCTCATTCACACTCTGCACCAGACCTGTACAGATCTCCACAAGGGGACATGCCAAGTAACTGTTCTCTATGTGCTCCACAATGGTGTGGAGAAATGGAGACTTGCTGTCATCTGGTGGATCCATGGTGGATTTAGGGCTGCTTCACACCATCTACAGACCGCAGCATTTTTTTGTCTGCTCCAAAACAGCAAGCCCTGTTCATTCCTATTGTCAACACCACTGCATTCAGTTCCAGAACCATAATAAAAGTACTGCATGCACTATTTTTTTTTTCTGGTCTCGGACGCATCTAAACACATGCAAACGCACTCGAAATTCAATCGAGACTAAAAAAAATATGCAATGGAACGTGTGAAAAATGCATTAAAACCACACGTACTCCTGTTTCCAGAAACACATTTCAGATCTGGTCTGGAGATGGTGTGAACAAACCCTCAGAGTGCGGTTGAGCAGTGGTTTGCAGGTGTTCAGGAGGCAATAAGGCTCCCTTTTTTTATAGGGGTATTCGCATTGCAGTACCGTGCCACTGCTGCCTGTCAAGCGGTTGGCACGCAGTTGCAGCATGATCCCATTGACTGCAGTGGTCCTGTTTGACAAGCGTTAAAGCCGGCCAAACGCTATTCTGTATACAATTTGCTGCAACCGCAAAGCTAAGCATTGCAGTTGTGGCATGTGTACAAGCCAGAGTGGCTGCCATGTTATGTTTTAGGTGGGCGCTCATGGGCAATAAAAACGTGGGTCATCTATGATTTTTATTGTCTCTTAGCTGCCTGTGTAAAAGAGCCTGAAATCTCCAATTGTTTCTATGCACCTAATAGACGTTTCAATAAAGTAAAAAAAAAGGTAAACTTTGCCTTGAAGAAACGCAAGGCACCACTCTGCCCACTGCTGGCACTCATGGCTGGATTAGGCCCCATTCACACCAGGGTGTATTGTAAACGCATGTCAAAAGTGCACGTGTCAACACAGGTTCATGATATGAACACAAACGTGGAATGCGTTTGCGTTGCCATTAGTAGGCAATGACACGGCAAACACAGCTGAAGAATTTTTTTTTGCACAATGCACAGGAAAAAAAAAATACGGAATGCATGTCACCAAATTTGCAACATGTACTACTTTTCTGCATTTGCCACACATCCAGGCACCCAATGGGGATGCATGCCAAATGTGGGAAATATCTCATAAACGTCCTCACTACACCTTGGTGTGGACGGGGGCCTTAGTGTACAGTCCAGTGTGAACGGGCCCTTAGGGATTCTGGCAGTGAGAACTAACCAGTGACAGCCACATGTGGGCCTTTTTGCTTTCATTAAAGGAGAACTATGGGGTTAAGTCTTTTCCCCATAGTTCTCCTTAGGGTAACGGGAGGACACAAACTAGCGTCCTCCCGTCACCCTAGGCTCAGTATACCGCAAGCTGTACCTCGCGGTATACTGAGACGCTGAAGCGGATCCCGACAATTGTGCCGGGATCCGCCCAGCTGCGTGACTGACAGCTGGCTCTGCCTATCTAAAGGCAGAGCCAGCTGTACCCGCCCCCTCCCCGTCCGTTCCGCCAGTCAGCGCTGGCGGATCTGAGCGGGGAGGGGGGAATCCAGCCCCTCCCCTGTCACGGCAGAGAGCCGTGACAGGATCGAGAGGTGAGCGAACGCCAGTATGTGTTCGCTCACCTCCCGATTTACTGAGCCGACTTGTGACAGTCTCATTGTCACAGGTCGGCTAGAACTGAGGTGAGTGAAAATCACTCACCTCATAGTTCTCCTTTAAAGGTTTGGTAATACCATATGGGTTGACCTGACACAGACCAAAACTATGGCACCTAGAGAAAAAAAATGTTCCATGTGCCTTGTTTACACTACAATGCTGTTTTGAGGTGGGGTGTGTTGGATAAATATGCAGACGTGCTGCATTTTTTCACAATGCACCTCACCTGATACCACATTACAGCATAAAATTAAATTTTGTGACATTTCAGCAGAGTTTAAAAAGTTACAAAAGCTTGTATTAGCGTGGCTGGGAGTAATGTTGTGGAGGTGGATGTTATCGCAGGCCATGCCTCTATCACCCACCTGTAACAGGAATGTAAGCTTTGCGTAGAGTGACCTCGTAACTTTTCTGTTCTTTCAAATGCAGTCCATTAACAGCAAGGGGATTGCTAGAATTGTCAAAGGCTTGGGGAACGCCAGGAGAAAATTGATGCATGGGGGTGTGCCCACATCATGCATGGAGTGTTAGGGTCTAAAGGGGCATGAATTCATGTATGCAGAGCCAAAACTTTTTCTTTTAGCTTTTGAATGGAGTAGGGACAGTTCAAACCCCTGCCAGTTTTTTTTATTAGATGTGTACCATTTGGAAAATCTAGCTTTACTCCCTGTCCCAGAGATCCAACAGGGAATTCCCCTCTTAGACATTTGACCCCATTTTGAATATTTTCCCTTGTTTTGGGGACTTGTCTAAAATGTAGGATTTTGCTTCAGTTTTCCTCAATGACTATGGAGACCAGTACAAATAGAGTGGTGAGTTTCCCCAATGGGGACACAGCAATGAAAATTTTTAATGAGGATGTAACCCTTCTCCACTCTTTAAAAAAAAAATAATAAGCCGTAAGCCACAGTCTCAAAAAATGCATAACCCTCAGCACAATACTTTTAAAAAAAAATGGAGTTTCCATTACTTATGCTTTTCTGTACGCAGTATCACATACACAATATAAACGAATGAAACATGGTTTTAAACAGAAAGTGTATAAAGCTAACATACATAATTTTTTGGTAGTAATGGAAATCTAAAAATACCTGCCACTTACTTTCATACAAACAATGTCGTACCTGGTATGTAAGCCACCCAAGTATAAAACAAAATTTTGTAAACACGACAACCCACAGAGTATCATGCTAACAGTTTGTCTTTACCTAACTTAAAGCTGGCTATACACCTATAGATTATCTGCAGATTTTCTCTGGTCAGATGGAGAAAGTGGAACAGATACCTCCATCTACACTAAAACGTGTGGATGGAGGAATCTCCCGCTGAGCCAAGCCTCAGTACCTAGTCGGCCCCGCTGGCTGTCAAAATACCTGAACAATCTGATTGGATGCAGGCATTGTTCATGTATTTTGAGAGCCAGCAGGGCCGACTAACAAGATACTGCAGCTTGGCCCAGCGGGAGATTCCTCCATCCACACAGTTTAGCGTAGATGGAGGAATTGGTCGCACTTTTTCCATCTGACCATAGAAAATCTACAGATAATCTATATGTGTATGATCAGCTTTTAGGACTCTTGTCACATACTAAAATATTTTCAGCTACCTGTAAGGAACAGACTGAATACTTGCTTCTCTTACCACCTGCAGTGCTGAATGCCACTTGGGGAACTAGGACTGGTTACCCAAAGTCTCCTGGGAAACAACACTTTCAGAAGTGTCACTCTCGGTATGGTCCCCTGCAGTTCTCTCTGGTTCCTGCTGCTGATCTAACATCGCTGCATCAGAAAAAAA